GCATGCAAATTTGTGTCCCGCTATTGGCCAGTTCTAAATTATTCCTACGTGGCGGCTAGCGATTGGCTTGCTGGCCGTATAAAATTCTGTGCGACTTCCGCCCAAGTCAGAGAACTTTGAGCACGCTGCAGAGTGCCTTTGAAGATTCCTGACTTGCGGCTGAGCTGATCGATAGCCTGATCACCTATCGATTCTTCTCCCCGTCGCCGAGCGCAATCCTTCGACGTACCCTTTTTCCTGCTGGCCTGTTTCGTGTATGGATTCGCTGGCCTGAGCCTTGCCAGCTGGAGCAACTCGTGTAGTTGTTTAAGCGACCGGACCACCTGCATCGTGACTACTAGCGGCGTAAGTAAAGCTTTTTGCAACCAATACGCTATGTCTGCCTCTCCATTCACCAGCCCGCCCAACGACCGAGTAATTTCTAAATCACCTCAAGTCGGCTCCAGCTGTCTGAGACAGTACCCTTGGGGGTCCATAGACTATGTCTAAGGGGTCTATGAGAGATGACTATGATCAATCAAAAGTATGTGAATGCCCACACTTACAATTCAAAGAGCTCTGTACCTCCATTCAAAATTTTCAAAGGGGTCTGCAAATAAAAAAAGGTTGAAAACCACTGGTCTAAATATATAGTAGAGACAGGAGCATAAAAGTTCAGCTGTGTTCTTCATTAATCACTCTGGTGGAGAGTGGGGAAGGCTTGGATTTTCCCCAGTCACTCCCAGTGATGGACATCTTATCTATAAACAGGACTTTTAAATAAGGCCACTATGCACTCGTCATTGTACCCATCCTATTGCACATGCATGTGCCCCCAGTGAGAATTATGACCTATGTTTTGGAGTCAGAGCCAGTGGATTTCAGATACAGAGCAAACCTTATACTGCTCCTGCTTAGGTCCTGGGCTCAGTTCACTCCCCCTGGGGGTAATGGGGCAACACATGGTTTGGGCCTCCCCCCACCGATCTCTGGCCCTGAAATGAGGGTGGTACTGAATCAAATAGCCCTATCCAGAAGCAAAAAACATATCCCTTCTTGCCTTGTGTGAAGATGAAGCAATCCTTGGCCTTTTGGTGACTGGGGAAAATTATTTTGAGGCAAGTGACCTATTGATATTGTTTCATAGTTTCATAGTAGCTAGGGTCAGGAGGGACCTGAACAGATCATCTAGCCTGACCCCCT